CAACTTTGATGGAATATACTAACGGCGTCAGGTATATTTAACGGTATATTTCATTTTTGGATGGAATATTCCCTAACGCCATTAGGGTTTCCGTACGTATGCCAGGCATGCGCTTGCGCATGGGTGGCAAGTGGGTAGTCGAAAAAATTTTCTAAAAATATGGGGATGTTCGTGGTGTTGAGTAGATCACGTTGGTATATTCAAACGCCCCATTTGAGCATTGTATGAGAAGCTATTATCTAGTTTCGTTTATGTGCTTTAAATTAACATTTATATAGTTGTTTCGCATATAGTGAAACCTATCGTCAAGACGAGCGCAGTCAATCGAGGCTTAGGGGCTACGACCCTTCCACATACTAATGAGTGGGCTTTTGCTTTTCCGTATATACCTATATACTTGAGATTTTTCCCAGAAAATCAATTTAAATGAAATTATGTTTAGAAATGCCATGCATATTGATTTATACGTAGATCATCATTGAATTAATATAGTATGCATAATTGTGATTTGACACTGTGGATGCTCAGGTAAGTACCAGGTGACTTGTAGATTGTTTATGTAAATTGATGATTATGTGAGATGTGTTGAGAGCTCATAAACCTGCACCACGGTGTTAGTGCTCCCGCCTGTGGTTAGGGCACAGTCATTTATGTGATGTTTACCTCCCGCACCATACGCTCACCTTGGATCCAAGTTAGGTGCACAATCCTGTTGTATAAACCACTATAGGTGGTTCCGACTCGTAGGTGACCTGCAATTATTCGCACAATCTTCATGTAGTCATAGCACTTGAGCGTATTTATTTACACCTAGTCCTGTCGTACAGACCACTTTAGGTGGTTCTGACTCGTGTGTGATGTGTTACAAACTAGCACTCAAATTAAACCCTCTTATTGACAATTGTAGTAAAGATGTAAGTAGGGATCATTCTAGGCCGGGGATTGGGAGGGATTGCTAATCTACTCTAAATTGACTTAAAAACACAAAACTTAACTTAAAAATACTTAACTAGATTTATATGACTCAAAACAAACTAAAAAAACTCAAAACAGCACAGAACAATCAAATAGACTCAAACTAGACTCCAAAGGGTGATTTGGACGAATTCTAACTTAACTTTGACTCAAAACACTTAAAAACGCAAGTTTTGACATATTCTAACTAATTTGACATAACAAAGTAAAGGGGATTGGGTTTTTGACGAATTTAAAGTAAAAACAAGTAACTTAAAGACTTAAACAAAGTTGACACGAAATTGGGTGAATGGATGGGTGATAGGCTAGCTAAAGGGTCCTTTTCCACACATGACACACTTGCATACAAATCAATTTCCAGTTGCTTTTTCAATAAACCATGAACCTCAACACCCCAGATTAACCGTGAACAACACTAATTAACCCTCAGATTTTCCTTAAGTCATTGAATTGGATGGGATACACATCGGTAACCAAATTATTCTTCAAAAGTTCCCTACATGAACAACATAATAGAGATACAATCAAAGGTCATTAAGCTTTGTGAAAATCATAAGTATTGATAAGGCATTCGTAACTATGAACAACATGATACTCCTGCCAGGAAGTTACTTAACACGATTGTGACTAGCAACCTCCACTACTTATGAATATAAGTTCATAATGATTAGGTGAAACTCCCTTATATTCTAGCATCAAATTCATGCATGCAAACTAAGTACGCATCCTTAATAAACATACACGAATAAGTTATCAATCAAGCATTTAAGTAAATTATATTCACGATTTATGAAATCATAACTGGAAGTAATCAATTCATATTGCAAATATAATCATGGTTTCAAAGTCTCTTCTAGCCAACATGAAATTAGTTCCTCATGTTCACAGCAAAACAAAGAAAACTTAAATTAAACATTGAAAACAAAAGATGGATTACACCTAAGAACGCTCCAACAATCCAATCTTGAATGGAGCACGTCCCAGGGTCCTCCTTTTTCTTTTTTGCTACGGCACAAGGTGTGGGTAAAGGTTTGAGTGATGAATTGGATGAAAGCATGGCTGCAAGGTTGAATGGTAATGAATGGATCCCCTAAAAGCTGCGGCAATGCTCTTATTTATATGGGAAAGAAAGAGCACGGCTGGGAATTAAATTGGGAAAGGTCTAAGATTCCAAATCCTCCAAGAAAAAGGTAATAAATAAGAATCCCAAGAGAAAAGGGAAGGAAATATGCAGTAAGCCTAGAAAGAAAGGGAAAAGAAGGTGCCTTGAACGTCAAGGAAGGGAAAGGCTGCGGCATCCCTCTTTGACCGGGATTAGGGCTTCTAGAACTTATATTTAAGTGTCCTAAATTAATTAGGAACCCACCTTGCAGCTGAGAAACAAGTAGGAAAAGATTACGATTGACTAAGTCAAAATAAGGAAGTTTGACTCATGTTTCCTTCTTTGTAGCTAATTAATTTTCTTCCAAGTCTTGAATTAATTTCTTTCATCTCTTTAGCAGATTCTTAACCTTTCTTGAACTTCAATTTCGTCCATCCATCTTGCTCCATGCATGCGCTATCCATTCCAAGCCCAAAACTGCTACAAAATGCTCTAAATTGCACTTTCTTGCTACTTTAGCCCTTTGGACCTACAAACACATGAAAATAGCTTAAAATACTAAAATAACTAGGAACTAACAATATAAATGCAAGAAAACAAGCTAACTAAATCGCATAAATATGCTCCTATCAGTGTGCAGATATATTTGTTGAGATGTGGATTTGAGCCTTACATGTCACGTTAGGTGACTCCGGCTAGATGGATGAGCTCTAGAATTAGCCGTACAGGTCAGGTTAGGTGACTCTGACTGACATATCATTTGGCATTGACTAATATCACCTGGCTTACATATTTTTATGATGAGATATCCGACATGGCATATTTGTGAATTGTGCTATTCTGAGTATGGTTGTGGTATAAATATTTATTCTATGTTCTGGGAAATTATATAGGTTTTACGCGTGAGGGGTTACTATCTTTGATAATTGAAATGGTTTTGAAAAGCTTTGTTTTTGCCCATCCACACTTTCTGTTTTGCGCCCCTTCAGTTTCTAGTTAGGAGTGCTTTTTGGTGGTTTGCGAGGAATCCACGGCAGCTCTAACAGATTATCACCATTGTAGGATTACCTTTGGTGTTGTATAATTAGTATTCGTCCTGTTGGACTGCAATTAGGCTACTTATGCTCTGGTTGTGAATTCACACTTAGTTCATCTTGCACTTATTCTTACCTAGTGCTCTAGTTAGTTTGGTTTTTATTTATTCGCATTTATATTATTATTATTGCTTCCGCACTGTGCACATGGCTACGTCACCCTTGCGTGACGGCCAGTACGCCTTGATTTTAGTCAGTGTGTGTCATAAATGTACACCCACACCAAATGAAAATGTACCAACATTAAATGAAAATGTATCAACGTCAAACAAAAACGTACCAACCCCGAATTAAAACGTACCCAATTATAAACTATATTAAAATGAATATTCATCTTTATGGAATGTTTAAAAATATGTTTGATTCATACACAATGCTCTAGATAGTCTTGTTCTTTGGTAGATAAGTCTTTGGAATAACTTCTAGTTGATCAGAGATAAATCCTTATTATTGTAGATAATGCTAAATAATAACAATAAATCATATAATTTTGAATTAACAAAAAGGCTATTGTCCGTTAATTAACAACTCTTTCTATAAAAATAAAATAAAATAAATTAAAGTAATTTAAACTTTTACATTGTTAACGACTCTTTCTATAAAAAAATAATTAATTAAAGTAATTCCTCATTATTAGGACAAAAAGTAATAAAACTTATGTTTTGAAAACAAACGTACCATAAATTCAAATGTACCAAGAAGCTAAATGTACCAAAAATTCAAATGTACCAAGTAACTAAATGTACCATTATAATCAAACGTACCAATATAACCAAGCGTACCTAACAACGAGTTTTGTTACATTCTATTTAATTTACTAAAATAAATATTTTAATAAAAATAAAAAAAAATCTTAAATCATCATAATAAGAGATGCATAAAAATAGGAGGAAAAAAGGGAATACTAACATGTATAGACTTCTAATGAAATAAAATTAAAGTACCAAAATTGTAGGGAAAATGTTTAATCAAATTTGCAAAAGGAATAGATGTTTAGTCTATAATATTTAAAAATGAGACGTCTATATCAAAACGTCCCAAGTTTTATTCACTAAACTTTCAAGTTTAACCTTAAATAAATAAATAAGAAAATAAAAACCAATGTTTCTATCTCTAACCCAATGATCCAAAATCTAGCGCACCACTCCACCCCTCCATTATTTTCGGCAAAACAAACTACTATCCCATTGGAATTCTCCTCCGACCTGGAAAGCACTTCTTGCAATGTCTCCTTCAATACATCAATCAATAAGCACTCAATAAGCAGACCAAATGGTATCACCAATTTATAGTTTTTGGAGATGGAAAATATGATGTCTGATAAGAAGCTGAGGGTGCCCAAAGTAACATATCATATGAATGCTTTTTTTCCAAGCAGAAGCTGCTCCAGTGCTGCATCTATTGCTTTTCTCCATGGAAGCTCCTTCACTGGGGAATGTATGGCTTGCCGTAACTTCTCCTTCACAAAAGTGGTTTTGATTTGCGGCTTTTGCCTTTTTTTTTTTTGGTTCTCCAAATTGTGCCGTGGATGAAACTACTTTTACACGACTTGGATTAAAATTATATTACTGGATATGGTCTTGATAATTTATCCCTAAAATTTCCAATAAATAATCCCAATTGAAAATTTTGTAGCCCATGGTCATTCGTGATCTTGATAGAATTTTTTGCTGTCACTTGGGTGGGTTTCGTCGGAAATAATGGAGAAATGCAGTGGTGTGCTAGGTTTTGAGTTATTGGGTGCAGAAATAAAAAAAAACTAATGTTTATTTTCTTATTGTTATTTATTTAAAGGCAAATTTGGAAGTTTAATAGAGAAATTTTTTTAGTTGGATGTTAAGATAAAATAACTGGTCCAAATAAAATTTCCCGTTCCTCTTCAATCCACCCTTTTGAATCAGCCACGTGTCCGGATAACTTCCGCTGGTGTCACTCTTCCCCCAATCCAAAGCCTCCTCCACCATTCTCCCACCATTGGCGTTGTTGGAAAGCACGTGATCGTATAATCCCTCACTCTGCAGAAAACCGAAACTCACAGATCGATCATATCCTCCGCCTCTCTCTCTCTCTCTCTCTCTCTTGCTATGTTCACCCTCTCCGCGACGCCATCCACCACATTCCTCTCGCCTAGGGTTTCGCCGTCGTCCCTTTCCTCCTCCTCCCCCTCCGCTGCTTCTTGTTCGTCACTGTCGTCGTCTTCTCAGCTGTGCTTGGTGTCTGTGAGACGGCAGAGCTCTGCCTGTCCTTGCTTGTTTTCCTCCTTGAAGGTCAGTGCCATGGCCGAACTGGTGAAGGACACGGAGTCGTCGTCCTTGTCGCCCATTCAGAGTGCAGAGAGGACGGAGACTAACCATTCTCGCACCTTTCTCAATGCGACCACTGAACAAGGTGACAGCTCTTCGCCTTTTCTTTGTATGGTTTCTCAGAAAATGCAAGAAAGTGAATACTTTTTTCTTGAATTGAAATGTTGCCTTTCTTGAATTGAAATTGGTTCTCATTTTTGTTTACATGGCTGACTTAAATTCCTAGGGTGAGAACTCTTCTGCATTTTCTCTGTTTGGTTCCTCAGAAAATGCAAGAAAGTGAATGCTCATATTTTTTTTTCTTGAATTGAAATGTTGCCTTTCTTGACTGTTAAAATGAAATTGGTTCTCAATTTGTTTTTTGGCTGACTTTAATTTTTATTTTGATATTTACATGAATTATGGGCTGTTTTTGTTCCATTTTTTGTTTGAATCTTGATGTTCATGAGTCAGTTTTGCATGGTAGTTTATGCGAATCTTGATCTTCACGTTGCATTTCCTTTTTCTCAAAATGGAATCCTGAAAGGACTCCCCTTTTTATTACAAAGGGTCGGGTGGGAAGTTGGTCTCTTTTTTCTAGTCATTCATTGCATTTCCTTTTGTTTCCCAGAAAAGAATAGTATGAACGCTTTCCCCTACTTTTCTTTTCACTCTTCTTCTTTTAAGTTTGCCGTAGGAGCTGAGTATTTCACTTGTTAGTCAAAAGAATTTTCCTCTCAACTTGGAAGTGATTAAAGTTTCAAATTTGATTCATACTGCAGCCTTCCAATCTAGTAACATGGTCGATACAGAAGCCCATATCGCTGCCCAGTACTTGACCTTTTCCTGCACCTTCTCCACTTCCGACCCCCCCAGCATCTTCAAAAATCCGTTGATTTCTTTCTAACCAACTCTAGCCTTAAATGAGTGGAATTCTTGATAGCTTGTTTTCAATTTGTAGGAAATGTTGAGCAAAAAGTTCATGTTGAAGTATTCCTATTTATGTTAAGGGAGCCGATTGTTGTCAGGCATGTATTTTTTCACAAGGATGTACAGTGTTCATTTTTCGATCCTTAAAATTATGTGGATTTTACTGGTTAGCATTAGCACCCAATATAGAATGCAATATAAAAATATTTAGATACGTTATTTGGGTTTATGAAGTGTACAAATTAGATACCCATCTTTGTGTAACTATTGGGCCTCAGTCTGTACTATGCACTAGGGCATGATACTTTAGCCAGGGGTTGGTGTATACAAGACTTATTTCTGTATATATAAGTGAATCTAGTTATATATGGAGCTGTAGACCAAAACGATTACAAGATTGGACAAGCTAGAGAATAAGGACAAGGATGGAAGGTATTTTATTGGATATAGTTGTTACTTTAAGGTTCTAACTTCTGAGTAATGCTTTCCCCAAATGTATATGCCATAAAGTATATTTTGAAATTTTGTTTTAAGCCTTCTCTTTAAAATATCATGTTTTAAGGAAAACTGTTTTCTCTTGAAATGAGTAAAAAATATTAACAAAATTGTCCATTTTCGAAAAGTGACCTACCTAGTGTATTCAAACAACAATAAAAAACAGAGAACAAATGAAGAACAATGAAAGTTATGACAAGTCTATGGAATCTGAGTATGAACCTAAAAGTATACCATACTTTGAATACCTTATTTCTTTATACAAATTTATTAAAAGGTATGGGTTTTCATTAGGTATGAGTTGTCAACATCACATTGAAGTTGTTCAATGGTTATTGCTCCTTGTTTCTGTGTTAAACACTGTTTTCAGTGTTATTTTTTTTATAGATTGTACCCCTCATACCCATTGTTTCAAGTGTCTGCCTGTGGAAGCCAGATTTTTTTTTGGACTAGTTATTATGATAAGATCTACTTACTCAACAACTTCATCCGTTCCAAGTCCATGGTAGGTAGGTACCCATCAATGCATGCTACAATAAACGAAATGGGTTCTGTACCTATATAAATTTGTAATAATTCAAAGAATTGTGCAAGGACTTAAAACTGAACTTGGATGCATCAAATGGTTGGCTTTCTCATCATGGGATTGCATTTCATGTAGGTACAATTCTTGCGGGGTATGCGTTATTAACTTTTGATAGTTTAAGAGCACTTTTTGCTTGGTTTATAAGACCTGTCTAGTTGCCCTACCTTTATTGTTGTTCACACTCATTGTAAAGTTCCTATATTTATTCCCCCCCATGGAAACCAAAAGAGAAACAAAAAATGAAAGAAAAGACAGATTACTATTAAACAAAGCATGGATAAATAGACAGAACATGGTACATAGTGGCGGATAGGACCAATGGTGCAAGAGGTGGTCAAGTTGAAGGACCACATGAACTAAAATAGGGTTGGAGGACTAAATTGTAACTCATGGACAAGTTCAGGGACCGTTGCTCATAATAACCTTTACTATTATGATAGCTATTTGATTGGATTGCTAATCTTTGTAGGTATGGACCACTGAACCCTGTGGTTGGATAGTGTTTGAGTCCTTCCTATTAGTGGGACCATTACAGTTCCAACTCCTAATAGCCTAAGATTGTCCTCAAATTTACAATGCAATGTCACTGGGACTATGGTCCCAATGTCAGTTTTTCTTTTTTTCGTTTTTCCACTGCCCTCGTTATTTTTACTAACCGCTTTATAAACATAACCTCTGATGTCATTGATTGCATGCTCTGATATGTACTTCAAATGTTCTGTGTCTTCTTATTCAAGTTCCTTGAAGGTTATATTTTTGTTTTTCTTGCTTGTATCCTTGTATTGTAGTTAAATAATTCATCTATATTGTTTTCCTGTTCCGTTGAACGAAACTTAAAATTTTTTGTCAACATTGGGAAGGAAATTGCAACTAGACCTAGAGCTAGTTTGTTCTTAACTGCAGCTTTCTTAATGAAAAAACACACTATTTTTTAAGCAGCTTTTCTTTACATTATTAATGTTCTCCTGTTTATTGATGCTAGTTTTCTTGACTTGTTTGAAATGTTCATCTGTAGAGCTGTTGTCTGTAATAAGGAAGGAAACAGAAGCTGGCAGGCTTCCCTCAACTATTGCGTCACGAATGGAAGAATTATATCAGAATTATAAAAATGCTGTAAACTTTTATTCCTAATCTCGTGTTGTACTGTACATAGTTAGATCTACTTCTTATATTTCTATTTTGAATTTACTTGATATCCGTAAACGTTTTGGCTCAAATCTCATCTGAAAGTAATTTGTGTATCAAATGTGTGTGTCTGTAAATTTAATTTTTTTTAATGGTTTTAGCATTCAAAATTGCTAAAAGAAGAAGATTTAGTATTTTCTTCTCAAAATAGAATTTTTTTTTAGTATGTATAGCTGTAGCCATATTATTTAGAGACGACAAAACTGGTAATAAAATTTCATAAATTCGTACAACCTTGAACTTCCTGTTCCTTATGAACTAGGAGTATCTTTCAACTTGCTAATATATTGTTATTTACATATATCCTAATCTTGGCTTTGCTACTGAGTAGGAATTAAAAATCTGTGAGATAGACATTTTGTGGTTCAAGGCCTACATTTTTACTGGAAATGTTGATACTACCACTTAACGTGACCATGGTACTTACAGATAGTGAGTAACTAAGAGAATAACAAAGAGTCAATCACTAGCTAGCACAAGATAAATGTGCCTTAGTTGTTTAAGGTCAAAAAGAAAACGTGACTTATTTTTTTATAGGAAATCTGAACCATTTACATGTTGTGCTTACACGAACAAATAAGCCACAGTGTGACCATTGTGTATGGATCTAGAACTTGTGTCATGGTTATTTTATTACAAGCTTCCATAATAACTATTGTAAACTTAATTTTGAAACTTATATTTGTTATGCTTCACTGGTTAAAACTCATCTAAGGGTATTGATCCTCTTTGACTAAAGTGGATTTTATACACACACACACACACACACACACTTGTGTGTGTGTGTGTGGGAGAATAAAGGGGAGGGGGGGGGGTGTTCTCTATATATGGATGCCAGGTGCCGTATTTTTCCTTAATTAGCGGACATGAAATTATGTGTTCATTAAAATGTCAATTGTCTGTCAGTAACGCTGAGCTGTAAGTATATGGGTAGCTTCAGGAAAGCGAGATCACAATCAGCTTTAATTATTCAAGCACATGCCAATCTGCTTTGATTTTCTAGTGTTTTTGTATATCTGGATTTTATTTGCGTATAACGGTCTGAGGACTTCTTGTTCAATTATTAGATCGTATATGAATGGCTTGTATGCATTAGATGCCCTAGAAGTAATTTATTTTGTGATAAGAAACTCCTTTCCTTTTTACTTAGTCCTATGCTATAATTATTCAGATTCTTCAAAGTGGAAATCCCAAGGCAGATAAGATTGTGTTGTCAAATATGACTGCTGTATTGGATCGTGTATTCTTGGATATAGAGGTAAGATTGGGTTTTATATGCGTTATCACACAGCTGCCTTAGTTGCTGATGTGGGTTTGACACAGATAGGAAACCAAATTATCCGTTTGTTTTCTTGTATATTTGATTTGTTTTATTTTATTTTGCCTATATGATAGACCAATAATTTTTCAGGACCCATTTGTCTTCTCACCATATCACAAAGCAATGCGAGTGCCTTTTGATTACTACATGTTTGGTCAATACTATATCCGTCCTTTAGTTGATTTCAGGTAACTTGGACAACTTCTATCCTATTACCATCATCCGCTACTTTGATGTAAATAAAGTGAAAGCAGATGCATTTATTCTTGTTGTCTATTTTTGCTAAATTTGAATGGACATGCCATGTATTATTTCATGAAGTTCATTGGAACCTTAAAACTGACAGGGTCATGGGTTATTTGTCCATCTGACGTGCTATCATCGTATCATTCAGCATGAGATTAAAATCATTTATTTTGATTTATGAGAGAATCCTTTATATATTAGTTGTATTGGCAATTTTAAATATTCTGATTTTTAATTGTTAATACAAAAATGTAAAGATCTTTTTAACTGAAACCTTTCTGTATTGAAGACTCTGGAAATGTGAATGGTTCATCAGTCCTCGAGTCCAACTAGCAGTTGGATAGATTGAAAATAACATGACAGTATTTGAGAAAGTAAAAAAATGTTATTTGTGGAACATTGTAATATTTATATTGTAATTAGAGCATTGGATCAACTGGGTGTATGATTAGAGCATTGGATCAACTGGTTGATAACAATAAAAAAAAATGCATAAAGGAATAAGAACCTATGTGTCATTCAATTTCAGAAATGGGTGTGTTAGATTCAGTTGCCTGTATAAATTACATTTGCACAAATAGAGAATGCAAAAGTTGGGATCATTGTTTCTAACACCTTGTAGTTCTGGCTTAAGAATCTTTAGAAATGGAAATGTGAGCATGTAGCATGTTTATGTATTCAGTTTGGATACTTAGTTTTTCCGAAATCCAGTGTGGTTGATCAATGAACTGTCCTTACTTTCAATCCATCGTAATTGATTTGGAAGGATAAGGTACCATGTAAGGTACATGTGTGCCAATTTGGGTAGTTGCTCAAGGGTGGGTGAGTACTACTTATAATGCTCTGTATATGGGGTTAAGTGTTTTCTTTTTCCTGCTAAGCGTATTATTTGTAAAAGCTTGCAAGGATATTGATTATCTATTCCTATATTGCCCCATTGTAAATAGATCCAGCATACACTCTTTGAGGAGCAAGACTGAGCTGACTATTCTGGCTTCTTCCTGTACATGTTGAGAAGCATTGCGCCTTTAGTGGGTTTAAGGAAGAAGTTTTGTAGAATTCTTTATGTTAATATGGAGGACGAGGTGTTAGGAGTTTAGGAGAGAGGGCAGCTTTTGACTTCTCTGTGGGCATTGGTAAATACAGAGATAATTTTTTTTCCCTTCATCATGGAGAATGGGGATCCATAGTTGGGTGATTATCGCTTGCATTATGATTGGGTAAGGGAAACGTGTAGTACGGTGAACTCTGATTTTATAGCTCTGGAGAGTGATATTTTTTTTTTCTCTCTTTTTTGACTGTTAGACTTCTAATCCGCTGCTATTTTTATATCTTCCCTTTTCTGGCTTGTTTAATGAAGTAAATAAATGAAAATTATAACTTTTCATTTTGTATTTTTTTATGCTGAATTCTTCGCTGCGTTTTGAAATAAATTTACACCAAGTATTATAATGGACTAGAGAAATGCAATGTTACCATTAAACCATTAAGGGTGTCCATTTATTAGAAAAAGATTTTTCAAAAACTTGTTGACAGAGAATACTCACATGAAGAAACAAAAAAATTGCTGGCGACTCAGCGTTTTCTTTCTTCTGTGCTATTTCTTTATCCTAAATTCTGATGATTATTTGTGCAGAAACTCATATGTTGGCAATCTTTCCATTTTCTATGAAATTGAAGAGAAGCTTCATCAGGTGCCTTTTCTCAGTATTCAGCTTATTTTCTTTGTGGGGTTAACAACTATACATTGCTGAATTGTGGAACACTTTCTTTCTAGAAGCAAAGTTACACTGAATTTCCTCCCTGTTTCGTTGTTACAACTTACAAAGTTATATAGTGGCCTCCGATATGCATTCGTGTAAATGCATGTTTGGCAGTCCAAGTTTAGGTTTGGACATATGTATGTTGAAGTATTTTAGAAAACTATGTCAGAGAGGACATGATAACTGATAAGAACTGATGGTCTGAAGGGTTCCTACAAGCCAGTTGCATGGACTATCAAAATAATGACTATTTTATAGTAGAATGCAATACAAATGCTATAACTTTGTCTTGGTGCTGTATATCACAATTTCAGTCGACCAGTAGTTGTCTCGAGCTTTTTCGTATACGATTTTGGTGGTACTGTGGTAGTACTATGCAGATGCCATATCATCTTGATTAGTTTACACTTGGAGATGACTTGTAATGTAATGCTTTTGGATTATGCATGCAGGGTCACAACATTTTTTTGATATCAAACCACCAAACTGAAGCAGATCCAGCTGTCATTGCCTTGTTGCTTGAATCAACAAACCGACATCTTGCTGAGAAAATGGTGAATTGCAATGTTCTGTCTTCATTCTAACCGTAAATTGGATGCATACACTATTTTGTGCACTTATAACTGTTTGCATAACCAGTTTTTAGACTTGGTACTACAGACCTACATAGCAGGAGATAGGGTTGTGACAGATCCTCTTTGTAAGCCTTTCAGCATGGGGAGGTACTTGTGAATTCTTGAATAATGTTATGCAATTAGTATGCATCTCTATGCTTAAATGATGAAATCCTCACCATTTGTTCTTTTAATATTATCAAAGGAATCTGATATGTGTGTACTCCAAAAAGCACATGAATGATGATCCTGAGCTTGCTGATATGAAAAGAAAAGCAAACACCCGGAGTTTGAAGGAAATGGCATTGCTATTGAGGTACCGCAATTATTTTATTTGTCTATGCATGGCCAAAGTTGGTTTGTTATTAATAACAGCTCTTCTTATTTCTGCTCATTAAGGTCTGAGAGTGTTACTACCATGTCAGGTCCTGTGCAGAAAGCTTTTTTCCCCTCCTTTTTCTTTCTGCATTGTTTTTCTGTTCTTGGAAAACCCTGATCTCTTCCTCTTTCATATCTTTTTTTCTGTTTTATTTGCTCTTACCTATTGTTGTTTTCTTGTCTCAAGCACTACACATCTCAGAACTAACCAATTTGTTTAAAATGAATTTTGTTTTTGTGAAACGTAGCTAGTAACAAACTGGGGATTGAGGATACTCAAAATGGAGGTGCGTACTTTGGGTCGAGGATACCTACTAAAAGCGAGAAACAATTCATTTTAGGTGCTAGACCGAGAGAGAATGGCTCGTTGGTGCCTAGGATTGGAAATTTCACTAGATTCCATGTATGTTGAAGGAAGAAATGGATGCCAACTTCTAAAGCTTGTCGAAGTTGAAGGTAGAAGATGCATTGTCATGAAGGAAACTTGTTATTTCCAGTTGTACCCTTTATGTGGGGATTTGAAGGGATACGTTTCCTTCTTTACTAATCCATCTTGTACCTTTGAACTTGAACAAAATATGTAAGTCGGCATCTATTTCTTCATTCAACTTCATGAATCTAGTGAGTTAGCCAATCCAGTCCAGTCGTAGAGACAAAATTAGGAGTGAAGGTTCAACATTGTAACAAATGCTTACCTTCAGGTCTCCGCTGGTGGTATATTTGCTAATTGGGGTGGGGGGATGGTTTCTCTAATTTCAGTTAGTGGTAAAGGAATAATCTGCATTTAATCACAATATTAGTGGACTTTCCACTGTTTCTGTAATTTTATTATTTTCTGCAATAAAATTTGTTTCTCTTTAAGAAAAAAAAAGGTCAAGTGGAATTTCTTATGTCTCTGTTTGTTCTTGTATTATTTTTTTTCTAGGACACATCATGCATGTTTGTTGTGTTTTTGCTAATCAAAATACCAAAGTCGGCATAGGATTCAAAGAGAATCAGTGCTAGTGATTCTCTCAAGAGAGATCACACGGGGACGTAGGAAAAGTTAGCCATCTCGATAATAATTTTTTCTTGTGTTTGTGTGAGGCGATGTTTAGTTTATTGTTTCCTCATACTCACATATCATCATCCAAGCTGTTTGCATAACAATTTTCTTTTCTAAATAATACTCTTTTAATGTAATGAATTTGTTTATATATGTTTCTTCATACAGCCTTCTAATTGAACATGTTTTATAGGGGCGGATCACAAATTGTATGGATTGCACCTAGTGGTGGAAGGGACCGGCCAGATCCTGCAACAGGAGAGTGGTACCCAGTAAGCTCTTTCAACTTCATCATGTACGAGATGATTGAGAAGGAAATCATGGATTTCATGATCATTGTTTAATATTTTTTAAATTTTTTTTAGCTTTCTTTTTGTAAAATGTTTTGATCCGGATAGGACAGTCAATGTTCAGGTGATGATTTTTATTTTGCAATTGTCCCTATAGTGTTGCCACATGAGGTTTTAAAGTCGCATCTATATGTTCTAGTTGTATTGTGAATTTAGGTTAAGCAAACCTGACAGCATAGATGTAAAATCAAAGGAGTTATTTGGTTCATCATGGATAGAATAGGGACTCGAGTTCTAGAGGAAAGCATAAATAGATTGAGGATGATTTTGAAATATAATCCACCATTTTCTGTCTTTTGAAATAAATTACTGTTCTAATAATTTACTAAATTTGACATAAACTTAGTTGTATTTAATTGAGCAGTTGGGCTTGCCTAAAAACGAAGATAGGCTACAATTTGAGATCACGTTGACATACTGTTCCTATAACCAAGAATTGACCAATATAGATACACATCCACCTATCTTGATAAGGATTTTGAGTTGGTGGTGCAATGACTTCATACAGACAACTAACAAGTCTTAACACATAGACATAACATACATGCAAACACGTAGAGATAAGTACAATTGTTGTCTTCATGATGCAATTAACTTCATACTGATATAAGTTGGTCGGGCACCTTTTGATAGAGATAAGTACAAGTGTTGTCTTCATACTGACATAAATTGGTCAGGCACCTTTTGATGCTGCTTCACTGGACAATCTGAGAAGGCTTGGTGAACATTCTGCTGCTCCAGGGCATATATATCCCTTAGCATTATTGTGTCACAACATCATGCCTCCTCCACCCCAGGTTCGTCGTCTCTGTTTTGGTGGTTCCTGTAGTGCTACTTTTCCACTTTAGTGACAATTCTTTTTCAGGTAGAAAAAGAAATTGGAGAAAAGAGAATGATCTCCTTCCATGGTACTGGATTATCAGTTGCACCAAAAATCACCTTCTCTGATATTACTGCTTCCTGTCAAAATTCTGAAGAGGTTGGTGCCATATACAATGTCTTTCAACTTCCTGGTTGATTTGGATGGTTCCTGTTATATTCTTCGTGATCTTTAACATTATTCTGCAATGAAAGCTCGTGTGTAAATATATTCTTGATCTGAGGATTACTACTGCATTTTAAATCATGTCATGTTACCAACTGCTGAGTAGTGTGGAAAAACTTGTTCCGCCTATCTAGTTTGGTGATGAACATTAGCATTTAACTAATACTGTCTTTTCCTTGGTCAACAATGATGTAACGACTAGTGCACAGCTGGAATAGATTGGTGAACTGTATCCAAAAGTAGTTTAATGTAGGGGTATAATATATATAAAATATGTTCATCCATATGACAAAAAGTCTTGAAAGCTACTGTTCAAGGACCTGGAAAGTCATTTTCATTGATTTCTAATTGTTAGAGTAAAAACACCTTTGTTCCCTGAATTTTGGGGTTTAGGTGACTATAGTTCCGGGAGTTCAAAATGTTTTTGAAACTGGCTAACTGACACGGTTACTATGAGGACCAGACGTTTTGAAGTTCAGGGCTCAAATGTTCTTTAAACTTCACCATTCTTCTCTTGGATTGTTTCTAAGTATTCTGGCTGTTGTATGTTGCAGGCTAGGGAGGTTTACGCACAGGCTCTGTATGATATTGTTACTGAACAGTACAATGTGCTCAAATCTGCTATACATTATGAACAAGGACTAAACGCATCCACTCCAAATATTTCTTTGTCCCAACCATGGAGTTAGTCCGTCTTTAAGCAGATTGCCTTCCTACTTTGCTTTCATAATCAGGTATCTATTTTGATTTTCTGTAGTTACCAGTTGTGTAAATTAATTGAATACAGTGAAATAACGTTGTGGCTGGTTTCTAAATGAAAATAAAGGTTGACTGGAGATTCAAGTGTATCTTGTGCGTGAAAATCCGAATAAAGAATCTAGAAAACAATAGAAGTGTTTTTGTTACCGTTTGAAAATGATATTTGCGCTCTTGGCACTGGCTATTGAATATATTCCTATGCACATTGATGATCGTTCTCCTTCGGTAACTAGATTTGATTGAATCTCGCAGGTTAGGACCTTACCTTAATTTTGAAACTCCCGACCGAAGGTTGACTGGGAACTTCAACACAAGTATGCACTGTGCCAACAAGATCTAATTGAAGCTGATGATCAATGTAAGCTCAAAACCATCTGGAATTGATGGATTCTTTTTGTGCATATGGTTTTTCAGCAAGAGCTGAATTCTTCTGGAAACGAAGCTATCTCGCAAGGGTTCAGTTTTAGGTGTATACTGTACAGATGAAGCCAGTTGTTGACTAGCCATGTAAATCGAATCCCAATTCGTTTCTAGTAATAGATGTTACAATCAATTTCTTTTCTCTAACACCTGAGAGAAGTCTTAAATTTTATGGCAGTAACTACTTGAATGCGAAGGATCTAGGGTTGCCCCTCCTAGCAGCCAAAGCTTCAACATCTCTTTCCTCAATGACGAAAGTAACATGAGAAAGAAAACACATACCCTATCACGGTTTATTTTGTTCAGAAAAAAAAAAAAAAAAAAAAACAAACGTAATAAAGTAAACCCCTTTTGGATGCTCACTCACTATGCGTTCCTATGTGATGGAATGACCAAATAAAAACAACAAACTCTTATCCTACTAAGTAGGGTCGACCGTATAAATCCTAAAATACCACTTTGCTCGCTTTTCGTCAAGTCTTCCATTAGATTCAAGTACTTTATGTCTAGAGTCTCTTTCAAATAGGGGTGGGCACGGTTTGGTTCGGTGCAGTTTTGAAGCCAAAATCTAAATGAAACCAAACTGTTTGGTTCGGTTCGGTGCGGTTTCGGTTTGGTTTTTAAGAAAGAAATGTACATTTTAAAATATACACCTATCTACACATAAGACGGTCTCATTTTCTACACAATACATTAATTAATGAACGCATGTTAACAATGAGTACATTGAGTGAGGATGTTTTGATAATCTATTTCTATCTAAAATTAGGACAATATATGCACAAACCTACCTGCAACAACTACATATGCAGCAAGCAAACTTGATGCAAGCAAACATGCAGCAAATGATGAATGATGAATGATGATATTCTAGTGTGGTTGAGTAGATACTAAATGCATGGAACTCTAACAAACAACCAATTAAAACATGACACCTCATATGGACATCTAATTAAATGTTTATTAGTATTTGTGGTTTGGTTTCGGTTTCGGTGGGGTTTTCAAAAGCCAAAACCGAAACCAAACCATTCCCTACAATGCGGTTCAATTTCAAAACTGCAAAACTAAACCTTTCAGTGCAGTCCGATTTGGTTTGTGTATTGGTTTTGGTTTTTAGTTCCAAGTGCCGACCCCTACTTTCCAAGTCTTCCTAAGTCTTTCTCTACCCCTTTTGCCCTGAGTCTGTCTCGTAATCACATCTTCTCAGGAGGCAGTAAATGCGAAGCTTAACCTTTGGCGGGAAGTGTTGGAATCTAAAGGACTTCGCCTAAGTAGGTCAAAGACTAAGTAGATGGAGTGCAAGTTCAGTGGGAACATAGTATAAATGAGATAGGGTGAGGATTGGAGATCAAGAAGTACCAAAGAGTGAATATTTTTGCTATCTTGGATCTATATTGCAAAAGAACAGGGAATTGGAGGGAGACCTCAGTCATAGAATACAAGCTAGATGGATGAAGTGAAAGAGTGCATCAGGTGTATTGTGCGACGGTCGTATGCCAAAGCTCAAGGAATTTTTTTATAGGACGATAATAAGGCTAGCAATGCTTTATGACACGGAATGTTGGGCTGTGAAGTATTAACACGTACACAAAATGAGTGTAGAGGAGATGAGAATGATTCGTTGGATGTGTGGGCATACAAGGAAGGACAAGATTTGGAATGAGGATATCCGAGGTAAGTTAGGAGTAGCCGAAATTGAAGATAAGATGAGAGAGAATTGGTTAAGGTGGTTTGGCCATGTGAAACAAAGACTTACAGATGCTCTGGCTAGAAGATTCAATTATGAGACAAAGGCTCAAGGCCAAAAGGGTAGGGGAAGACTTGGAAAGACACTCTAAGAAAACACCTGGACTGCTTGGATCTAACAGAAGACATGACACAAAATTGAGCGCAATGGCCTTCTAGGATTCATATAATCGACCCCATTTGGTGGGATAAGGCTTTGTTGTTGTTGTTCCTTTCAATTGCAACCACTCCTACTTTACCTTGAATATCCTCGTTCTTAATCATGTCATTTCTTGTGCTCCTATGTGTCCAACGAAGCATTCTCACCTCCGCTACAATCATTTTTTGCATGTGTTTTTTATGCTTCACCGTCCAATATTATGTGCCATGAAGCATTAATGATCTTGTTGTCGTCCTATAAAATTTTCTCTTGAGCTTTTGTGACATACATTGATCACATAGCACACCCTATACACTCTTCCACTTCATCCATCTAGCTTGTATCCTATGGTTGAGATCTCCATCAAATTCTCTGTTCTTTTGCAATATAGATCTAATATAACAAAAGAGCTCACTCTTTGGTACTCCCTGTTCTCCAATCCTCACGCCTATCTCATTTGGACCTCCCCCTGAACTGCACTCAATATACTCTATCTTTGACCTATTTAAGTGAAGACCTTTAGATTCCAGTACATCCCGCCAAAGATTAAATGCATTTACTCTTGTGTTTCATCTATCAACATTATATCATCTGCAAAAAGCATACACGGATATCATCTTGAATATAAGGCAATAACTCATCCATTACCAATGCGAAAAGGGAACGCCTTAAAACTGAGTCTTGGTGTAACCATATGGTGATGGAAAACTTTCAATTTATCCTTCATGAGTTCTTATTGCAATCCTTGTTCCATCATACATGTCCCTTTATTGTTTGGATATGTGTTGCTCGTACTCCTTTCTTCTCTAAAATCATCTGAAGAATTTCTCTTAGAACCCCATCATACACTTTTTCCAAATCTATAATGATCATATGCAAATCCTTTGGCATGTCTCTATATCGTTCCCTTGATCTTAGTAAGAGATAGATTGCCTTGATAATTGAGCGCCATAGCAGAATCCGAATTGATTGTCTGAGATCCGTATTTCTTCCTCAGTCTATGCTCGGTTACTCTCTCTCAAAGGTTCATTGTATTGACTCATTAACTTAATACCCCTATAGTTCTTGGAATTTTGTTTATCGCCCTTTTTCTTGTAGATAGGCACCAAAGTGCTTTTTTGCCACTCATTTGGCAACTTCTTAGTTTTTAAAATCTTATTGAAAAGGTTTGTGAGCCAAGTTAACCAGTCTCTCCCAAGCCTTTCCATACTTCGATCAATATATTGTCAGGACCCACTGCTTTTCTTTGCTTCTTCTTTTTTAAAGCTACAACCTCTTCCTCTTTCCTAATTTGGCAATAGGAGCAATTTCTACACAGGTAATGCTAAGGAGACTTAAATTTTGTAAACTAAATGGAGGTTGATAATTAGATTATTATTTAAGTTTTGGTTAACGTGTTTATGCCTTATTAGTGACACATCAATTATTTGCAAATTTAGTCAACCTAGTATTACTCTTTTTGCACTCTTCCGAGTTACTCAACTCACCCAAAGAAGTATCCTTTCGTATCCTTCATTGAAAAGATTATGAAAATAAGCTCATTGTCTGTCTTTAACAGCGTTCTCCATATCTATACCATTTCCATTCTCATGCTTGATGCACCTTACTTGGTTCAAGTCTCTTTGTCTTCCTTTTCCTAGCTCTAGCGAATTTATAGATATCCATCTCTCCCTCTTTGCTATACGATGGAATGACCAAACAAAAACAAAACAAGAGTAAACTTGATATAGCTCCAATTTTGTAAGTGATTATTGCGCGTAAATGGGTACTGCATGGCCTTACACGTGTAAATGGATATTGCTTGTGATAGACCTAACATGATTAACATGGTGGAGACAAAGCTTCAAAACTTTCATCTAGACATTCATGTTTTATACTTACAAGATTTGGATTACCATTACACTTAAAAAGAATGTCATTGTAAGTGTAACCATATATTTGACAAGCCAATGATTCCCATGAGCATGTAGCATCTGTAACCGACAAAATTGACCATCATATAAAAAAAAAGGGCAATCCGAAAACCTCTTATTTGACAAAATACATCACACTTTGTATCAATCACTCTGTGCAGAGGGGCGCCGGAGGAATCTCTCCCTACTTCAATGTTGAAAATACATGTTCTTTACTGCCTTCTGATGAAAACTTGCTACATCGAAACACTCACATAAAATCATAGTCATCCAGCGGATCATAGTCATCAACAGCTATATCATCATTCGGCTTATCAACAAGCAGCTGCTTTTTCTTGGCGCCTGAAAACAAAGAAAGCAATTAACAAACACCAAGGAAAGCTACACCATCAACATAAGTTCACACCTAAAATAATTGATGAAGAGATCATGGTTCCACCCTAAAATAATTTTAACCGGGTGCCGTGAACAAGTTTTGAGGGTCCACGAATGAAGTTAAGCCGAACACAGAAGCAGCCCTAGACTTCATAGTTTTCAAACTGGGTGACTTCGATCAATTTTTTGAGTCGGGCAATTTTAACATGAGGTTTTCAGATTGCTTTTGACCTGTGGCAAATTTTGTGCCTAACAAGCAGACAATTTTAACTGGGTGACGTGCAGCGCGTCTATTGGGCTCCACTCGCAGACCAACCTGCTCTGATAACATAAACAAAGTTGAGGTTCCACCCTAAAACCAATTGGCAATAGCAGGAGTAGCCCAACTCCTTATAATCCCTTGCAAGGTTTCTGAACCCTCTGATGTGGGACAATTTTCACACAAAAGGATGACCACTAGGTAAAGATAAGGGGCATAATTAGATAGCTCTACATAACTATCGAAATAGCACTAACAATATTCCTCTATTCCTTTCTTTTCTTTTTTCAGTTGGATTGATTTTTAGGAAAACTAATGGAAAGGGTTTGAAAACTTTTGAGTTTTAACGATAAGGACAAAATAAAGGGTAAAGTGATTAATACCATGATTGACTTTATAGTGTAAAAATGTGGTTTTTCGTTAAAATGAACAGTACCATAAGCGTTTCTTTAAAGTTCCCTTGATTTTTTATTAAAGGATACCTTTGAATGGGAAACCATAGGAATTGGTTCGTACCAGACTCTAAAATCTAAAGTGGATGGCATTGCCATACCTTCAACTCTGATTACATAAAACCTCAGCTATTTTAATTATCGGTGACACCTGCACCTAAAAAGGAAAGCACAGTGGCTGATTTGACCAACACTCTAAACGAATTTACTTAGTTTCATTTATTGGTGACACCTACACCTAAACTGGAAAACACGGGCTGTTTTGACCAATACCCTAAACAAGTTTACTGAATCAGACATGCAAGGCATTTTTAACACATTAGTTTCACTTATTTGTGACACCTACACCTAAACCGGAAACCACAGGGGCAGCTTTGACCAATACCATAAACAAGTTTTCTGAATCAAACGTGCAACGCATTTTTTAACACTTAAGTTTCCGAGTTCCACAATACTAAGAGCTTCTGGCTGACGCTCCTCAAAACAAATATAAATATAATTCTTTTTTCTTTGCCTTTCTTCACATATAGGACACTATTTTGGTTTTGAAGAGAATGAGAAATCATAAATAAAACTCAAAATGAAGCATGAGGCATTCTATTCTTATCAAAGAATGAAATTGGCTTAAGAGACTCACCTGTCTTCTTTTTACCAGCATTTGCTTCCTTCTCTGCTTTTATTTTCTCATTTGCAATTGCTGTAATGGAAGATGCAACTTCTTTTGCATCTGCTCCTTTCAATGAAGTCATTGACAGTCTCATTACTGCCTTGAGTAGACCAATATAATGGAAACTTTTCTGCAATTAAATTTCAAAAAATTATGTATCTGAAATTCTCGAAGCTTTGTTAAATGGATATGACAAATTAACACACCTCAAATGGACGAAGTTTATGTGAAATAAGTTCTGCATATTCCAGGAAGTCACTTTCAGATTTAGGAATGAAATTGTCTAAGGTTTTATAATTGCCTCCGCTGGAAAACAATTCTTTAGTGGACTTATAATCTGCTTCTTCCACCAGCCTGTGGCGTAGAGAAAAGCTTCAGTAAGAACCACTAGTGACCAAAAGCTAACCAAACGTTTCGTACTATATATCTTTTTTGTAATATGCTTACAGTTTAGTGCACTCAATATGTAATTGTTAGTCAAATGTAACAAACCATGTTCTCATGGAGAAATAATACTCTGAATCAACTGGGTCTATCATCCAGAGGATAGGTATAGACAAAAATGAAGGAAAAAAACCTAATGAAGGCCAGTCCCCGCATATCACAATTCTAAAACTTCATCAAACAAAGACATCAAGCGCAGCCCAGGTGCACCATTAACAGATAATATAGTGCATGGCAGACACAATGATCAACAACATTATAAACATCAGAAGTACTCAAAACAATGGTTTTACTCACATAAGCGCTATTCATATCAAGATATTAAAAGAATTCAAAACAAAAACCAAAGAAACAGAATTGCAGGGCTTAATTACATTAGAATGCATGACAACTCACCACATTTGAACCATCAGTAACACCAATAAAACAATATAACAAAAAACCTAAAGTTGTGTTGAGTGGGCTAATGAGGGTCATTCATCATACACTTACAACAAAACACGAACTGTTTGCTATAAACCAAAGTCGAATACACTCCATTTGAGAAATATTTATCAACCCATGACTGTTTAATTTTACTTCCAAATATCAGTGAAAAACTCGAAGTATTGAGTGATTACATATTACATAGCCACTACTTCCTCCAAACAGTCCCAACAAGTACAATTTAGGAATAATAGTACCAAAAAAAACCTAGAACAAGGGTGTCAATTAACTGACACAATGAACTATATAGTAAATATGAAATATCCACAACCTAGTTGAGTTCGAATTGGATCTTTCTATTGATGATTCATTTTGACTTATCTTTAATAATTTTACAAATTTCTGTAAATTTTTTGTTATTAAAAAGAGTGGTCCTTTTTAAATATGAATTTTAAGTAACAGTTACACGTTTGTTTTGTTGACATAAAATTTGGTCCGGCTTCTTAATAGGAGGTAGCACCAAACGCCTGACTAAATTCTGTATAATAGTCAGTACCGTAAGACACAGATTAGTAATATCCAACCTAAATTAGTCAGTACCACATACTAAACAAGGCCTAAATGTTTACTCCCACCTTTGTTGGCGAAGTTTCTCAGCCACAGGATCCAGTGGCTCTTCCCTTTCTATTTGAACGGTTTTCCCTTTCTTTTCTGTAGCTTTTTCAGCAGGTTTTATTGCAGGTTTCTTAGGTGCCTTCTCAGAAACAGGCCTTGTTGCAGGTTCCTGCCCACCATAAAAAATAACATATCATAAAGACTAATTGTGATCATAAAATAATACAGATTTTTTTTCAGTAGAATAAGTGTAAAGACAAAACAGCCATCAATATGATGCATGTGGTTTGTGGACAAAGCCTCTAAGGTTAATGACTGCAAAACGGCTTGCTGTGGTTTGTGGACAAATTGAATATATGCACACAACAACAACCAAGGCGAACCCGATGGAAACCAAACCGAACCAATTGTAATGGATCCAGTGCGGTTTGATTCTGTTACAGCAGTTGTTACTGAGCCAACCCGATGGAAACCAAACAAAACCATTTGATATGTCCGAAGTTGGTAAATCTCACTTTCAATAGTAAAGGAGAATGAATCCAATCACTGAAATGAACTAACATTGTTGCAAAAATGAGGTCAGACTTCACAATAATGTGGAACCCTTTGTCTCAAAACTAGCCATCTCTATTTTCAATTAAGGACAAGGAAGGAACTAGTGCGCAATGAGCTATTTTTAATATGTCTATTTTCAATTAATATGACTATTATACATAGAAAAAACACAAGTGCAGTACAAAGTGACATTATATGGTGTACCAGTCAAAGACATCCCATAACATCCATATAATATTAAAAAGTCATCTCATGGTGTCAATGCATAAAATTCACCATTTATATGCATATATATTGCCATAAGATACAAAGTTGGGTTTTCACACCAAAAGAAAAATTAATGTTGGCCATGGTCATTTTAAAGATAAATAAGTATGAAACATTTCCCCAGCCAAATTAGCTAGTAAGAAACGCCATCCATCAACCTGTGACAGGGATTCTAAATGATGCGCAGGAAAAAAATTGCTTTCTGAAACTCAACAAAATAATAAGATCACGACTGCATTATTGATCTTACCAAAGGAGCAGGTTCATCTAAATCCTCCCATGACTCTGTAATATCATTTTCATCCACATCTTCATCATCCCATTTATGTACTGGTTGGTCCTTAGAAAGGAGAGTTGGGGCTTTCTCATCTTCTGAAGCATCGAAAAAGAATGCCAGCTTTGTAAACAAAAAAACTCCACTTACAAAGAAAACAAATTGTTATTCAAAGGTTTAAGCAAGCAAGCAAGCTTTAGGTGGCAAATATGAAACATAATAATTAGGAAAAGAATATTAAAAGATCATTGTTCTACAAATCCCCGCCTAGTGCCATTAATCCCTAGGCATTTAAAAATTAAGAAATGGTGCCGATACCTACTTAGGCGCCCTCCTAGGCCGCCTAGGCACCCGCCTAGGTCGCAACTCTCATTTAGACAGAGGATAGGTAACTTTTGCATTTTATTATTTTTAATAAATTGTAAGAGAATTGTTGAATACTTAGATTAACACCCCTTATAATCTATATGAAATTCTATTTTGCAGTTTATGTATCCCAATTAAATTATATACTTTTTAATTATAAGCAGACACTAATTTATACAAAAATGCTTAGTCCGCACAGGCCCGCCTACCTGCCTGGGCACTAGGCCCCAACCCACCACCCGACTAGTGTCTTTTAGAACCTTGAAAAATATTACAAAAATTGCAAGCATATCACCGCTCCTCAATAATAAAACAGTAATTATCTCCATCCTAAATCTTAAACTACCATTAGCAAGCAAAATCTACACAAAATTTCACGGGCATAATTAAGATAGAATTAAAGCAAGCACTATTACCCCAGTCCTCCATCTAATTTGGCTATTCTTTTATCAAATTACCGATTTTTCGACGAAACAAAGAATTAATCCTGCATATCAACACATGTAACCATCCATCATCAGACATTAGAAAAAAATTGGCAAATTAAGAACAGGGTACTGCTAGAGCATTCGAACCCACAAAATAAATTTTAAAAAACAATTGACCAGAAACAGTTTTCGGGATTTTGCAGAAACTGTCAATATTTTTAGGGTTTGGAAGAGAAAATCCAGAAAAAAATTTGGGTTTCGATAAATCGATCTGGAAAAGGGGGAATTACCTTAGCAATGGAAGAAACGCAATTGATCAATCAGGTGCTGAGAAGCGTCTACGGCTCTTTCTCTGAAACCCTAATTCCCTCTCTGTATTCTCAGTATTCTTCCTTCTCGGCTGACTGTCAGTGTGCCCAACTCGACCACAACTAAGCAGAGGCCCAGTTTTTTCCCTTTATAGTATTCGCAAATTCTCCTGTGCGGACCGCGGACCAAGGGTGCTGCGTTTTTTAGCCGTTTGATTTGATGTGGACGGCTCCCAACTAGGGCTGGGCATTTAAAAACACAAAAAACCGATTGAACTGCAACGGGAGCTTGGTTTGGTTTGGTTTTTTATTTTTTTATTTTTAATTTTCGATGGCTAAACTGAATCGCATCAACCTTAATCGGTTTGACAATAAGTTCCCAAAATTCTTATGGTGTGATTAATCGAACTGACCCCATATATTTAATTTTATTTTTTTAATCATAATTAATACGTGTGGTAACATAAATGGTTAGTTATTTATGAGTTACCGTGTTTTCATTACATGAAAACAAAACTTAATTAGTTTAAGTGTCTCTTTGGAGAAGAATGGGGGGACCATTTGGAGAAGGCAGTAGTTGCTGCTTTGGTGCTCTCCTTTGGCTGCTTCATTTGTGTTGTTCTTTGAACAATCACTCATATTGGTGTTACATACTTGTTTGGACCCAAAATGACGTTTTTGGGCTGAGCCCATGATTGTTCTCGGTCCAATAAGAGGTGTTAGGAATATTCCCACCACGGGCCTAGCTCAATGGAATTTGGCCGAATCCTATCAGGAAATGGTTTCATTTGGATAAGGGTGAGTGGCTGAATCCTAGTATAATAAGGAATCCTTAAGGGCTAGTTATGCTTTGAATTAGAAAAGATGCCAAGAATCAAGGGTTGAATTTTGGTGATAAAAGAGCTTGATTCATGGTCTTACAAGAGTTAGGATTGGCCGAGACCTATTCGGATTAGGTTAAGGAATTCTAGTTTGAGTGAAACTTTACTTCGGCCATGAGGGAATTACTACTATAAATTGAGAAGGGTGTGCACACATTTAAGCCCCTCCAAATCAACATATAAAACTACCTTGCACAAATTCTCGCTCTATGCAAAACCTCTCAAACATCTTGAGATTTTTATTTTCCTTTTTCCCGCCAACAAACCTTCAGTTTGGATAAATAACACTGTGTTGGCAACCGGCAACATCTTCAGTTTGGATAAACAGCACTGGACTTGTAGAATCAACCGACTGAGGAACACATTCAGTTTGGATAAATAATACTGCTTCGAGACTGATTGGTTATCTATTCAAGTCTCTGTCAGTGATGACTCTTTAGCCTTCTCATTGAAAGATGTCATCTCATCAGCCTTCTAGGCGAAGTGAGATGTTATCAGGTTGCTTAATATTCGACACAATGAAAACCGAATTCGATATTGAACTTCGCATAATTAGCAGCCTTGTCTTCAGGCTCTAGAATCCGAAGACCAAGACATGTTCCTTCCTCAGCTGCAGTTGCAAGATCAAGAAGTCATCAGTGTACCTAACGCCGCATCAACATTCATTCACTCCCCATCCGAGCTCAGCCGACGAGTTGGCACACCCCCATTTAATCGAAGGACATAGTTAGCTTATTAGCTATTCAGCCTATACCCACATAGACTAAGTAGTTTTTAGGGACAACAATATTATAGCTTTTGTGACAGAAATTTGTTATGTATCTTCACATAAAATAAAAAATCGATCCAAACCAACTCGTCACTGTCGATTAACCAACCTGATCAGTTTTAGAGCCAACTTGGTCAATTTTAGTTTGCAATTTTGGCCCAATCGACTAGGTCAGTTTGATTTTGGTTTTGGCCCAAAACCAACCCACGCCCACGCCCACTCCTACCAAATGAGGCCAACCGAGTTGGTCAGTGGAACGGGGTCATAAATGACTCTAAATGTTATTTTATTTTTGGAATAAACGATATTATCTACACTAAAAAGTAGACGACTGGGCTAAGCCTACAATGGGCTAGGAATAATGTAGTTCAAATTTGCCTTTGGCCAAAATCGAATCTAAGACCTCTAACTAACAAGTGAAGAGGAATACTTTTTTGGTCAAAGGAGAAACTTTCATAAAAAAGGCAAAGCGGCACAAGGAAAAGGTAAAAAAAGGCTACAAACAACACTTCAGGCCTAAGGATGGAAATTAAAACCATTAAACCCTATTTCTGCAAGTAATCGATCCAAACAGTTTGGTTTTAGAGACTAAATTTCAGGTATTTTACGGTTATGGGTAACCAGCGCGTAAAGTTTTCGTTTTCGAGTTTGGTTATGGTCATTAGGTATTTGACCCCAACCCACCCGAAACTGAACTGTTTTCATTTCTAATAAAAAGTATAAATATATATATATATATTATATAGAGAAACGAGTTATCAATAATCATGCATTATTAAATATAGAAGTCCATTCTAGTAATTATATGCATTATGTCATTAATAGTATAAATTATATGCTTAGCAATTATCAATAGTATAAGTATTTTCTTAATAATATAAATATCTAATATTATTTATTATATGCATTGTATCAGTTGTATTACTCATGCACTATTTAATATTTAATATTATTTATTATATGCATTGTATCAACAGTAAATTTAATCTCATTTTTATTTAAAATTCACTCTTTAATTAATAATATAAACAAATATAAAATATATAAATATCATAATAGGGAAAACCATTACCAATGAGAAATTTTTTGCTCGACGAGTTTGGTTATGGGAAAATTCGTTCAGGAATTCTACATTTTTAGATTCAGGGAAAATAGACGAGTTTGGGTATGGAAACGGCACATCCGAAATGGAAAAACCCTTTTTAGAAAGTATTTCAACAAACGAGATATTTCGCAACTGACCTGAACTTGATCAGCGCCGTTACCCTCCTTATTCAGGCCCCTGAACATAAGCCATGTGAAAGGACAAAAACATAATTTTATTATACACCCCCTAAACCTACTCAATATACAATGCTTACCATTGAAAATTGAGTATTCGTATCAATTCACTTGAATACTAAGCTGTTTAAGGTTTCAACATCCATTGGTTAGAAAGATAGAGATTGTGGGGTTGTCTACTGAGTTTAGCAACATGTCACACTTGATCCTTGAATTGAACCTATGCCTAGCCCACATGTTTGGATCCTTCTTTATCTACCAATCTCTTTAGCCACCAAAAGCTAAGTCGGCAACCACACAATTTCTAGAATTCTAACCAAATGAATGTTGAAACCTAAATTGCTTAGTATTCAAGTGAAAGGAAACAAATCACCAATTTCTAAAGATAGGTATCGTATATTGCATAGGTTTAGTGGGTGTATAATTAAATTACATTTTTTTCCTCACGTGCTAGGCTTGTGCCAATTTTAACGATCTTTTAACTGATTGTCTTGAATTGGCTAACGAATGTAAACATATGGCAATTTGGTGAAATTGAAAACACAAGGACTAAATTAGTCGATAAAGTAAAAAACAGAAACCATTTTGATATTAATTTTTTTTCTTTGTATAAACCGTTAGCTTCTTATTTTCCCAATTATTTGTTGATGCTGTCAGTTTAGACGAACACTTCTTATCCAAGACCGAAGGCTTTCCATTTTCCTTAACTAAAACTCAAATGGTGGTGATGGCCATTTCGACCATGAATTACACCATGGCTTTCAGTTTCTCACAAAACCCCATCAACAACTCCTAGAAGCTCTACAAACCAAAATGGAGGAGGTCTGTTTCACTCACACTCCCCAACCTTTCCTTCCCAACTTCTAACAAAACTAGGTGCCCCTCATACACCTCCACTTCGGCCTCATCCTCCTCCATCCCCACCACCGTCCAGGACTACCACTACATGAAAACATGGAATAGGTGACCAAATTTTATGTGGCGCCCAAAAATTTGCCACATATTTTTTCTATATGTGATGAATATTTAAACGTGTCAGGCATGACTAGTTTGTTAGTTAAAAATGAAATTAAAGAACACTTATGTGACAATAAATACGTCACATATTCTAGAATTAAGTGACGAATATCATAAACGTCACCTGTTGTACTAATAATCCCTTCCTCTTCAAGAATCTTATCCACAAGGTTTAAAGGTTAAAATCTGGAAACCTCCACTGGAAATCATCGAAATCCTCTCAGATAGCTTAAGTTGCTTCCTTGTCAAGCCATTGCACTAGCACTTGAACTCCAGCTGTAACAACCTATCCAGGTTTTGAAGAATTGAAAAAGGGTAACTTCGTAATTTCACTTTGGGTGGGATATTTTATTGTTGGTTTTGCTTTTTGGGCCTTAATTGGTGAGCCACGTGGGGCCCATACTATTATTTTGCCCCCCGACCTTTCTCTTATTTGGCTGCCACTTGGCAGCGTTCCCTCACCTTATTTCATTCTCTCATTCTCCTTGTGCCCCCTCTCACTTCATCTCTCTCGCTCTTTCTATTTCCTGAGCACGAACCACCCATATAAACACCCTTTCCTGATTAAATTTAGATCAACCCCACTAGCGTTGAGTGTAACTCGATCATAGGAGTCAATTTATGGGCTTTTATGGACAATCAGACAGCGGCGAAGAAACTGGACTTGATGAACCGTGAGTTCCAAATCTCTTTGTCGATCTCCGGCGTGATTCGTGTTCAAATTTCTGTAAATTTGGAAGGAGGTAAGCTTTGTTAGATGATTATGATGAGTTGGGGTTGAGATTTGGTCTATCTATTTATGCTTGTGTGTGTTCTTCAAATTTCCAGTTTTTCCAGCGAAACACGATGACCTTCGAGCCAAATTCCAGCCAACTTTGACTGTGGTCAACCCTTAAATTGGCAATTTCCTGTTCCCCACTTATTTAGCTTCATTGTGGTTTAAAAATCATTGGAAATGGTGGAGTTTTAACCCCAGATTGGAGCCGGGGATGTTTCCTGACGAAAACCTTGGATTTACGGTGTTCTTCTTCGCGAGGTCCCACAACCCGCGAGTGAAATCGGGTCGATCCGACCCACATCCTAATTAGGAGCCCAACCAAGTGCTGGCCAACCCAATGAACCGGCCTAAACCCTTGGGCCGAGTAACCAGCCCAAATCCAAGCCCAATCCATTTTAAATTAGAACTTAGAAACCCA